GAAATCACCACACACACACCCCCCCCGGGGGATGGTCACGCCGAAATCCCTTTTTCTCCATTCTCCTCTCGGATCTTGGGCATGCATGCACACATGCCTGGTGTGAGTTTAAACCACGGGGTCCAGGACTTGAACTGCGGTCAACTACATGGGAGTCCTACAACATAGCCATTATGCTAACTGCTGGTCCCACCATTTTTATTTTTTAATTAAAAAAATGGTTAAGTTTTATTGTTCCTATGCCCAAAAGCTAATGCAGGTGAGATAGAGGAGAGGAGGTACCCTCCAGCAAGGCCTGGTCACACTACAGTCTCTTCTCCTTGAATTTTTTACCCCAGCACCTCGGGCATATGCACACACCCAGTGTGAGGTGGTGGGGCTAGGACTCAAACCTTGGTCAGCCCTGTGGGATCTGGTCTCCTCTGTGTATGCCATGGAGCCCAGCCTGGCATGTCATGTTTAAAAGAGAGTTATTATTCCCATTTGCTACAAGAATATAAAATATTTCTGATCAATGAGAGTTAATGAGAATGTATGGAAGTCTTACGTTGTATCAGAACCACAATCCGTCCATCCATCTGTCCACCCGTCCATCCATCTGTCCACCCTTCCATCCATCTGTCTGCCCATCTGTCCATCTCTCCATCCTTTCATCCATCCATCCATCCACCACCCGTCCATCCATCCACCACCCGTCCATCCATCTGTCCACTTGTCCACCCTTCCATCCGTCTGTCCACCCTTCCATCCATCTGTCTGCCCATCTGTCCCTCTCTCCATCCTTTCATCCATCCATCCACCCACCACCCGTCCATCCATCTGTCCACCCGTCCATCCATCTGTCCACCCGTCCATCCATCTGTCCACCCATCCATCCATCTGTCCACCCTTCCATCCGTCTGTCCACCCTTCCATCCATCTGTCTGCCCATCTGTCCATCTCTCCATCCTTTCATCCATCCATCCATCCACCACCCGTCCATCCATCCACCACCCGTCCATCCATCTGTCTGCCCATCCGTCCATCTCTCCATCCTTTCATCCATCCATCCATCCGTCCATCCATCCACCTGTCCATCCATCCACCCATCATTATGAAGTGCGTCTCACACTCCAAGCAGTGAGTACAGGCTCCCTTTCAGAAGGGTCCACTCCTAGTCTGGGGCTGGCAGAGGCAGGGGAGAGACTAAGCCATGCTCAGGTCACAGGCGTCTGTGAGAATGAAGACGCCGTGGTGTGGCGAGCCCCGCACAGGACCCGTGTGGACTGGACACTAGCTCACGGTCAGTCCAGCCACTCCCTTCCACTGGAAGTAGTCAGGACACTAGTCCACAGGCCAAGTTCACTTTGGGCCTGAGCTGAGCTGGCAGACCATGGGCACTGCTCTCTTTGCAGACAGTGGGCAGCAGGCAGGGTCTGGCTTTCCCCAGTGCGCTCAGTCCCACGGGCGTTGACCTGGGTGTGTGCCAGTAACCTGGAATGAGAGGCGGGATGCCGGTCCAGGCTAAGCTCGAGGGTAGCTAAGGACATTCGCCAAGACTGGCTGATGAATGCTGTCCCCCGCAAGGTCCCCTGGGTGGCCAGGAGGGAGAGCGCATCCCTGGCACTTCCAGAAGAGCAGGCCACGGGCTCCCGTGGCACTTCCCGATTCCCCGCTCTGCGGACACACTGCGTCACCTTCCTGAGTCTCAGCCCAAAGGCGCTCTGCAGTCCTGGGCGATCATTCCATGAGCAACATTTATAGTGAGAAGTATTTTTAGAAATTAGTCAGAAGGATCCAAATCAATACCATAAATGTAAGCACACCGTTTGTACAAGGAATTCGGAGACGCTTACTTTGCTGCAGTCAGCGTGGCCCGCGATTCATTCAGGACAGCTGCCATGAGGGCCGGGTTAGGGCAGATTTCGTGTCAGTTCCCTGACTAATGGAGGCCAGGGGCACTCTGTCTTCCCGCCTGCCCTCTGCCCTGCGCTGTCCCGCCCGTGGATTCATCTCTGACAGCCTTGCACTCAGAACCAAACCACAGCACAGGCGGTGCCGGACCAAGCAACAGACTGCTGCCATGGAGCCCGAGCAAACCCCCCCCCCCCCCCCCCCCCCCCCCCCCCCCCCCGGTGGTTCCCACGGTTACAGACTGGCATTGCTGGCCAGCCTGATTCTGTTGTTCCGGGAGCAGTTAGACCACGCTGTTTCCCTTTCGTCCTTTTCTCAGGAGCCCTTAATATTAAGTCCCTTCACATACTCCTATGTCTGAGAGTGATGTTTAGATTCCTGGCATTTACTTAATGACATCACAGGCAAGGCGACTTCTAAGCATGCCAGGGCCAGCCCCGTGTGCCTAGTGGTTAAGGAGGACTGTCCTGCATGTCTGCCGGTGTGGTTAGAACCGCAGTGGCTTGAAGAACACCCTGGGCACATGCATATATGTGCATACCTCAAATCCCCACAGGATGGAGACAGGGAGGAGGGACTGCAGGGTAGCCACGCCCCATCGGGGCGCTTTCTCCCACTCCTTCTCCCCCCTCCTCTGTCTCTCTGGCAAGTGGAGCAAGGATGTAGTAAGCACCCAGTCCCCGTCTAGACTGCCATTTGCCCTGGAGCTGGGATGGTTTCAGGACTGGCACCTCCCAGGACTGGCTGGGCAGAAACACAGGGCAGAGTGTGGAATCCTCCCATCCAGAAGGGCGCTAGGGTGGCGGTTTGCTTTAACACGCTGCCATGTGGTTGGGCCAGAAGTGCATGTATTCATTAGTGTCACTGCTGAATGTGAGGCCCCTGGACTAAGGGTGGTCACTCCTTGCTCTGCGTCCCAGGGCGGCATCCCTGTGGGGATCTGCGCTGACCTTCTGTGGCTGGTCTCCTCTGCCTTCGTGGGGGTTTGTTCTCAACCCTCAGCTGCCAGTCCCCATGTGGCTCAGGGCAGTGCCCAGCCATTTTCACTTGTTGTCCAGCCTCATTCCTGCCGTGGAGGAGCCTGGGCGCCTACCAGGGCACTCACTCTGGCGACAGAGGGGAAAAGAGGAGGCTGAAGAGGCAGCAGGATGGCACCCATTTGACTTTACTGGACTTCCTGGACACCAGTTTTATCATTCTCATCAGCCAAGCTGTTTCCACTTAAAATCAGAATAAGAATCCTTTTCTATGATCAATTCCATAAATCCAACAGTTGTTTATGTAGAGCAATCTTAAAGTATTTCTCCAATTCACTGAACTTTATGTCTTTCACAGTGTTATACTAAGAAAACAAGCCATTTAAAGAGGTCCCTAGGAGCCTGACCAGAGGCCTGTGACACAGGTCATGTACTGACTAGTTACCAAGAAGTAGCCGGGTGGCAGAAATGGGCCAGGACTAGAAAGTGGTTAAGGGCACTGGATTCCCATAGGGCAGATTGCGGTTCGAGTCCTGAGCCTGGTGGCTCATTCTTTTACTTGCCCTCTCTCTCTCATTCTGTCCCTCTCTGGTAAAAGAAAAGAGGAGGAGGGGGACCAGCAGTTAGCATAATGGCTATGTCGCTGGACTCCCACGTAGCCACCGCGGTTTAAGTCCCAGACCTGGTGGCTTAAACTCACACCAGGCGCATGTGCATACGTGCCCAAGATCCCCAGAGGAGAATGGAGGAGAAGGGATTGTGGCGTGGCCATCCCCATTGGGGGGTGATTTCTCGCTTTCTGTCTGTCTGTCTTTCTGGCGAGCACACGCGCCCTATAGCAAAAACTCTCCAAAGAAAAGAAAAGAAAAGAAGAGAAAAAGAGGAGGAGGAAAGGAAAGGGAAGAAGGGAAGGGAAGAAGGAAAGGGAAGAAGTGTGAATTCCTGGTCCCTCAAGACTGGGACGGCCTATGCAAAGAGCTAGGCCGAGAGACGGTGTTGGAGACTCCAGCTTCACCAGAGGTGGCCCTTCGAGGAAGGCCTGGGAAAACGTGTGCCCGGACCTGGTCAGGAGGGACCTTGACCCCGTGAAGGAGGTGCACAGGGCGCAGGAAGGCCAGGACAGGGTGACGTGGTGAAACCCGTCCCGTTTCCATCCTTCAGCGTCTCCACTCGATGAGGCCAGGAGTCGCGTACCGTTTCCTAGCCCCCAGGACTTCTGTTTTAATTTGCGAGGGGCGCGTACTTGGTTGGTGGCCGGAGGAGATCTGTGCTGGGGATCGGGCCACTGTCCCGGCCAGGGACCAGCTTCCTGGCGCACCCTGGACGGTGCCGACCAGACCAGAGATGAATCCGCGCGGAACGACTCGCTGCCTGTTCCCATCCCGGCGGCCGTCTGCGCGTCACTGCGTCGTCCTGGACGCCGGCTCCTTCTCGGGGTGACGCGTTCACGGGGTACTCCGCCCGCAGGTGCTCCTAGGCTCAGGCGGAGTCTTCCGCATCCGGAGCAGCTTGGCTCCGCCTGGGGCGGGGGGGACGACTCGACCCCCCCCC